TTGGCGGGAAATATGATTCAAATATCCTTTCACGCTATCTAGTACCCCCTCGTGGTTATGTTTCATAAAAAACAAAAATACGTTTAAAATAAATCAACGACCAATGATATCAAACAAGAAATCAGTGCATATATGTCACTGCTCCTGGATTTGATACCTGAGTTTATAGGAAAGCAACAACCTTAGCACAATATGTAGACTGAAAATTCGCACATTATCCACAACAAAAACTTGGAACCTTAAAGTGTACGATTCAAATCGCACTTGACATAAGTATCCCCAACAATTTAAACAGTGAAGTAAGGATAATATCTCGGGTTTTCAATCATAAAAGTGGTTACCCCGAAAGAAAACAGTCGGTGAAACCAAAACAAAGAAACCATAAAACTTTATCACAGCCACAATCCATTTTATTGAACATGTCAGAGACATGCTTGCCGAAATGTGAAAACGTTTCGTCAAAAAGCACACAATTAACGTCAAGTCGTTAATCATACAGAAACCAGAATAAAAGTTGGAAGAATTTATGTGATTGTTGAATTTAACGCAAAGCTAGTCGAGGTTAGTTTGCGCTCTCCATCCCTAATTTAAAAGTTGTAATACTAAAGGGAAGAGAGCTACTCAGTACCGCCCACCGCCAACTCTTGAGCTACCCCTAACCAAAGAGTAGTGGGATTGGACGCCACATTATAAAGCCCTATAGCTGAAAGAGCGAGCAAGTTTGATGTTGGAATAAATTAATCGAAACACAAGGATACCAGAAAATAGTATATGAAATCAAATATGATACATATGAACGATTTTATTCAGGTGAAACTGGACAAGAACTGAACAAAACGATCAAAGAACATTTAAGACTTGAAAATAATGTCCTATGTTTTGAACATTTAATTAAAAGAAGCCAAACACTCCATATACGAAAATAGCCTTAAAGTTCTACGAATAGAAACTGACATATAGAGAGAAAACATCACAGAAGCTACACTGATCAAAACGGTAAAACCTTCATTGAACAAAGATCCCGGAACTCCTCTCTGTCTCTTCTAATTGTAATCCAATTCATTCACAGTACATTTTTATGTGCTTCGTATATTTTTTGAAAATAATTAAATGCCACCTATATTAAATACTTATAATTCAACATTTGTGCTGTCGAGAATAACCTTTACACATTAATTTTAATTTGACCCATTCCAATGGGTTAAAAGGTCATAGTTTTAATTGCGTGGGAAAAACGAAAGAGAAGGAGGGGGTGACACTTTCCACGTTAAAACTGATCGTAATATTAAATCTGATCATTCAATGGGACCCTCATGTCTAATACTCAACAAATTCAATTTTTTTTATAATATAATTAATTATACTTGCCTTTAGACATTAGAATTAGATCCATTATATTTTAACACTACATTCATTTATTATGATGGCCACTAAAAGGAGCCTACACACGCATATATATGTACATAAAATGTTTAAGAAAAATAAATGCACAAATAATATACATAGGTATATATGCAGAACACCAACACACACATATACATGCATACATACTGTTGCGTCAGCGAGTCACATGACCACCGTGACGCAACGTTTCTAGAACTATCATGTACTTTGGCGAATGTTCAAGTTCTTACTAGAAATAGGGTACGCTGGTATATATAAGAGGGGAAAACGTGACGCGGTAAGTTAAGGTAATGTGTGTATAGATAGTGAGTAATTGAACTGCAGTCACACGGTATTGTTGAAGTTAACGTTCGTTCATTACAGTGTTGTTTTAGCGCGAGTATTGAGATTAAGTGTATCGCAGAGTTATATTCGGAAAGAATAAACCAGTTTTATTAAGTAAAGACTTGTGTCGTTAAAGTTTCGTTGGAACGAAGTTACGGAAAAATCAATTAACAAACGGAGACGTAACAATACTGTAAAAAAAAAAAGAAGAGCAACATAATTGAAGGCTGATAATGAAAATTAAAACATGCCAGACCATAATGGATTGGGTTAATTATTTTCTAAGTGTCTGTTAACCCTTTCCAAACAGGTCACTGGTGAAAGGCCATGTCATCGCGTTTGTTGATTCGCATTCAAAATTTTATTGAACTACTATTTCATGAATTTATGTCAATAGCTTTGGTATCAAACTGTAGATTATAATTCAAATTTTAGTATTATATCTTAATTAATTTCTTAATTTACAAGTAAATAAAAAAACACAGTTAAACATTGATTTTTGTGTGTCACATGGTATGTTGAATGTAGCACTGGTTCAGATTACATGTTTGTGATGTCAAAATACGAAGTCTAGTTTTGTATGAATTAGGAAGTCAAATTACCGATATTGACAAGCTAGAATATAAAATAAGAGCATCTTATATTTTCAGTTTACTAAGATATTGCTCATGTAATAAAGCAAACACAGTAGCACCCCGCCCACCTCTTTCCGTTTTTGGAAACGGTTCCTTGTATATACTTACTTCTATATATGACATGAATAACTAATTGGAAGCTCAGAATGTCTCCCTAGGCCTACTGGCTTTCTTAGCCATTTTAATTTCTTAGGACGCCGTCTCTCTTTCGAACCAAAATTTCATATTTATTTAGACTGAAATACAGATTAGTTACCAAGCTTGATAAATTATAGTGGAATTCTATGGTATTGATATAGAAATTCATGATCTTTTGGTAATTCAACTGTATATATAAAACCTAGAAAAATTATTTTGTTTCATATCCTCCACCTGCAAAATTTTACAAGGCTTAGCAACCTACGTCAAGCAAAAACCGAGTACAATAGATCAGAACTAGAAGAGATAATTGTTTGCTTTACTTCCATATTTACTGTTTTATGTTTTAAGAAAAATAAGTTTAGAAACTTACTTGTAAATAGTAATAATCTATATTCATATAATGTATAATAATTGAAATGTGACTGTATTTTACAAAAATAATAGTCTACTAAAACAGCCAAGGCAGTTCACTTTGTAAAGACTAAAGGTCAGTTTTATATTACTAGATATGGTAATATGAGTGCACGTGCGCTGCGTCATTATAACTTCTATGTTGTTAGCCAGGCATGGCTGAAAGGTCAATATAATAATAATAATAATGTTATGTATCTGTTTGTTTGTTTCAGGTAGAAATTCTTTCCTATGATCTTCCGTGATAAAAGTCCTTACTTGATTAAACCAGTTTATTCTTCTTCGATACAAACTTTTAGTACTCATAAGTTCCACAATCAGAACGTTTCTCGTCACTTTAAACTTAACAATTTTTATAATATCAGCTATAAATCAAAGCGATTCACAATCTCGATAATTTTGCTTTTTACGAGTGCAAAACACACACTTTACGATTCACTAGCTAGAAACTAACAAAATCATAAATTACATGGAACTCAAAGTAACTACTGCTCTCTCTTCATTTATCTCCCTGCTGGCTTTTACTGCCAGGCTTATGTACGAACGAAGAGGGCATCTCGAACACACTCGGACTTCCCCGATCATTCGAGAAACTCATCAGTGTCACGTAACTTCTGCGGTCGTAACACTGCCCATTCCTGAACACTAGCCAATTACATTAAACCAATAGATAATTAACAATAACTTAATTAAATGAACTGAATTTATAAACACAAAATTAAAATGCAACAAAGTCTTTGGTATTGGTCTCCATCTCATTGGCTTCTGCTTCATGTGGGGTTCATCAGCTTCATCAGGAAATGTCCTATCATCGGTAACAGTTACATCAGTGGTAGTAACTTCATCAAGGGCTTCGCTGTTTCTCTTCTCAAAACCGAGTAGAGTTTCTTCTTCAACAGTGGCTTTTCAGGTGACACGTCTTCAGCAGCATCATTTGTTCTGTTGTTCACGTCATCCCAACTGAAATGTCCTGGACCATGATAATGCCAAAACCTGTT